TCACATTACAAATGACTAAATTTTGATCCCTGAAATCTTTGGTAACACCAATGTTCACTTTGTCTGGTTTTGTTGCAAGCATGTCCCATTTCACATACACAGTGTATCTTGATTTAGCAGATCTTGATTTAGCAGATTTAGGGTTTAACGATATATATTAAGTTTCAGATTCAAATAATAATAAAAAATAATAATTAATAATAATTATCATTACCTTTGGACCCAAAATTATTAAAATCTTCTGGTCAAAAATTTTACAGTGAAAACCGGTTAGATCTATCTTTAACCTTGTCCCATATACTAAAATTTTCTATTTATCATGAATTTCAAAATATCTATTCATTTATTTCAGTTACTTGTAACATTTTTCCTTGATATATTCATTAATTGGAACATACGCTGTTGTTATTTAAAAGGTTGATAATTTTTTGTAATATTGATAGATATGAACTTTTAATTAAATTCATTAATTTATTCCTCCTTCTATAATCCATCAACAAACATAACTATAATCACAAGGGAAATCACTTTGACAATTGATTATCTAATAATGTCACACACAAAAATGTATGATAATTTAGCAGGAAAAATTGTTTTAATGTGAGGAAGAAACATTATATTAACAACAGCATTAATTATTATTTTTTATTAATGCTGTAATTGATTATATCAGTACATATAGTACTGGTGCATCTTCAGGAATTGGAGCAGCAACAGCATTAGAATTTGCAAAATATAATTCAAAAATTATATCTTTTTTTTTAATCAACAAAATTAATCAACTTTATTATTTCTTAATTTTTTTTTTACATTTTATTATTAAGGCATGAAAACCGATTGGATGAAATAAAATTATTGATATTAGAGAATAATCCATTGGCCAAAGTACATATTTCTACAGTTGATAAATGAAATAGATGAAATGATGACAAATCTTCCTGAAGAATTTAAAAATATTGATATCCTAGTAAACAATGTTAGTCAAAAAAAATTACATTGCAGTGATTAAGATATTAATCCAAATTAAGTTATAAATAAATAAAGTATATATAGGCAGGTTTGGTGATAGGATTTGATCCATTAGAAAAAAAATTCACAAAAAGGAATAAAAACTGTCATTAACACTAATATCAATGGACTTCTTTATATGACTCAAGCAGTACTTCCAATAATGAAATAACATAATTCTGGTTTCAAAGAAAAGGTTTAGTAATATATAATATTTTAATAGGAGTAAAAAGTCATGGACATGGCAACACCATGTATGTGGCTACAAAGTTTGCAACAGAAGGAATTACAGAGTAGGGAAATTATTTATATATAAATAAATACACAGTGAATCTCAATTTAGCGGATACTAATTAAAAATCTCAGTTTTACAGATAAATTTCAAAGAATAGTTTCATAATAAACCTTAATAAAAACCTTCTCGATATAGCAGATATCTCGGTTTAACAGATTTTTGGAAAATTTTCCCTAATTGCCCAAACTATTCATTAAATCGAGATTCACTGTGTATGTGTAAAATAAGAATATTTATATATATCTCTCTGATAATTAGTTCTATTTGTAAAGAAATCTTGAGTACAAAGATTTGTATAATTTTAATAAGACTAGGTAAAAAAAAATCATAGTCATGATTGTTATAAAGGAAATAAAAATCTTGATTAATTGATTAATAAAAATTTTTTTTAAGGGGCTGTTGAAACAGATTTTACATTAGTTAGAACTGGTGGTAACAGTGACTTTTCAAAAGTTTATTATGAAGGATATGATCCATTATCATCAAAGGATATTGGTAAAAGATTAGAATTATTTAATATTAATACATTATATATATATAAGAGAAATGGGTTAACTTTTTCCATGTTATATAGCAGATTGTATAGTTTATGCTGCAGGAAGGCCTCAAAATGTAGTGATATCAATTTTGGAAGTTTTACCAAATGCACAAGCTGATATAGCAAATATTTATAGATCAAGTAGTTCTAGTTTTCTAGCTCACTCAAAGATAAATATGAATCATCAGGATAATTTTCAGCAAAAAAAAAAAAAAAAGCATTGTTTCTGCATGGCCCTAGTAATTATTTGTCATATCAATGACAATATCAAATGTATTTAATAAACATTGTGAAGTACATATGGAAAAAAAATGCATCATTTATGTTCAAGGAAAGAATTAAAAACCTAAGTTTATTTTTTTTTATTCAACTAAAATACATAATTTTTTTTGTCATGTCAAGTAATTTATTAATATTAATATAGTAAACGTATACATATTGTGATATCGTGAAGTGTTACAAAATTAATCTACAACTAGTGATGGGCGTAAAAATTATTTTGAAAAATGACCAAGTTATTAAGTACTTAACTCTATTATTAAGTGTTAAAAACACAAACATGCAGATCTCTTATTGGTAACTGTTTAATCAAATATTAATTTGATAAACAAGTTAATAATTAATTTAGTACTGTGCATAAAATTCAGTGTGCAGAGTGTGCATGCTAACCAAATTTGATAAATTTTTTCCAAATCTGCTGAATTTGGTTAGCACAGCACATTCCACATGCTGAATTCTATACACTGGGATTGATTGACAAAATGGATCTTTTGGATTAATAACTCTCACTCAGAGTGCAACAGTTAATAAGTGGTTATTAACTATTAATAACTTGGAGTTATTAAGTGTAGGGTTAAAAATTCCCATCACTATCTACAACTTAATAAATATTTTTGTGCAGACTAAACAAAAATTCTAAATATAGTGCACAAATTCAATGAGAAATTTTTTGCATTATTACATTTTTCTATATATAATAATAATGCACAATTTTTTAAATAACTTTTGCACAATTCCTCAAAAAATTTTGTAAAATTAAAATTTTGGGGGTGGGGTGTTTGGATATGAAATTCTGATTGGCTAATTTGAATTTCACACCAAACCTTTGAATGGCAGAACTGTCTCATGAATGGGTCATGGTAATCAGAAGAAAACTTATCAATTTCGTCAATTAAAAAACAGGGATTAATAACTTGGGCCTTTTTCATAGCCTGAATAATTCGGCCTGGCATAGCCCCAATATAAGTACGGCGATGCCCTTGGATTTCCGCTACATCACGAATGCCTGGAAATACTGCTAGTGTAATCTAGGAAAAAATGATGCCATGGTTGCATGGACTAAACAGACCAATGATGCAACAATTGGTATCGTCAAAAATTTTGAGAAGAAAAACATAAAGTATTCGGATGTTATTGAGTTTTTCTGCATTTCAAGAATAATCCGTTATAATATTTTCACTTAATAAGCCAAGTTTTTCTTTTAATAAATTTTTTAGTTGATCAAGCCAAGAGTCATCCATCCTTTTAAATTGCCTGATCGATTCGGTAATTCTAGCTGCGTATATACTTTTTTGTACCAGACAGCCTTTTTGCCTCTTGTTATTTTCTGAGCCTTAAGATAATCACAATTTAAAATATAACATCTTTCATGGGATTTAGCACTTGAAGAAAAAACTCATACCTCTGATTTAATGCTTGCTCAAAAATAAATGAAAAACTATTATCCTTGCTTGGACCATTCTTGAAATCATTTGTTATTTTTCATTTAAATTGGAAATCAAATATTTATATCTATATACCAATCCTTTATTCTTGATTTCGTAACACGTGACAATTCAACAACTAATTACACAAACAAAAGTATAATAATAGTAAACATGAGTGAGTAGTAGTAGTAAAAGCAGATTTAATCCTGCGTTGATTATTAACATTTTATACCAGCAACATCCAAGACGGAAAATTGAACCAACATTTAAAGCCAAAACAAGGAACAAAGATTTAATTGTGTTCATCAAAAATGGAGCTCTAAGATGAGCATATGAAAAGCCATGATGTACCTTGAACTTACATACCTGGAACAAACGAGAAGAACTTGGTTGAAGCCTTCAAACCACAATATATACCAGATTGGAAAGTATGTAAAGGAGTTCATCAAATGGCCAAGGAATTACATTGGTCAGTCATGATACCAAATGTTAAAAATTGTACAATGAAATGTTAAAACCAAACTCTCCACGTACTTTATTACATGAACTGGTTCAAAAGTAACATTTAGGAATTCGTAATGAAGGCCCTAACGTTAAATTTGTGTTGGGAAAGAAGATTTAGTGTTTGATACAGTTCGTTATAAATATGCCGAGGAACATGTCTCAATGATTGCTTTTGAGGTCCTTTATGAAGAAATAGAAATAGAATAGGAGGAAAAGTTAATCTATAAGATGGACCTTGAATATCAAAGGTTAATGTTATTTTTAAGGAAGATTACACAACCTATAACATATAAAAAATATAATTAATGATTTTGGAGCTCTAGTTGAAGTAGAATTTCTTCAAATGACGATAGTGACGATAATGATGATGAAGAAACAATAACATATACGACATCAAATATACTAGCATTATATCCATCAATGTTCAGTAAGAATGATCATGATGACTATAGTAATCCTGGTCCTATTACTGTCACCATTACTAAACTATCAGCGAGGCCACAACAATGTTACAAACCGTACAAACTGATATTACACATAAGCAAGACATTCATTTCATTGATTCATGACCTAACAGCCAAGTGATGTTAGAAAAAATCTAAATATGAGTTATTTAATGGCGGCTGATAGGTTTTATGTTCACTGAAATGATGCGTGAGTCACTTAGAAAGCTTTAGCGAATCTGTAAGCACACTTTATGGTAAATTAGTGTTGGTCGCCAAAACTATTTTGAAGAGGTAGAAGTCAAAACTAAAATTAAAAGTTAAATGTCAAAATTAAATCAAAAATCAAAAAGTCAAAACTAGTTTTGACTTATGGTGAAACCTTTTGAATTTCGCAACAACAAATAAAACGTAGCCATATTATAAAGCAATGAATGTTTTAGTGAAGTTCCTTGTTTACTTACTTTTACTTTTCTTTGGCTGATCAAATTCAGCTGCATGCTTGCAAAATACTTTAACACAATACAACAAAGTGATATGTGATAATGACTTTGGTTAATAAATGCCAGCATTTTATATCTGGCTGAACAATATTTGCACCTTACGTTTACACAAAAAAACTTAAATTCTTTTACAAAAGCAAAAATGTTTATATTTAACAAAATCAAATAACTAAAACCGAGTTACAAAACCTCAGGGTTCTATATAGGGTTTCTATTCGAATAAGGTTTATTCGAATTATTTGTTCTATTCGCTATGAATTTGAGTATTCGAAAGTTTATTGAATAATTCGAATAAGATTCTGTATTACGAATAGAAATTCTAGTTCTATACCACTTTGCTTAATTTCAGACTATAGTGTGTTTTTATTAAACAAAAGAATCAATCTGTTTATTATTTAATTTGTAAAATTACAGAAATAATTAATCGACAATTTTCTGCTTCTAATCTTATGAGCAAGGCTCGAAATGTTAATTAATTAATTAACTGGTCAATTAGTTACTAGCTAATAGTAGATAGTTCATAGTCCGAAATTTTCCACTTGGTCAAAAAAGTTGTTAATCTTTCGTTGTTTATTATTATAGAACAATTTTATCAAAATGCCGGCCAGTCACATTGTGAGCATGTGACCCAATATCTTCCGTCCTTACATTATTACGACCTGATTATCACATTACAATATTACGGCGTGTCAAAAGTCATAATATTTTGGGTGCATGTATAGTATAACTCTTGCAGATTGTATGGTATGGGCCATATTTTCCCATACAAAGTCTCACGGAATTTATACAAAATCCTTTTCTGGAGGGAGAGCATTGGAAGTTGCAGTCCATAATGTAAAAAACTCAATATCATCCAAATAATCAAAGTAAATCAATTAAAAATACAACCGTAAGTTTTATATGTAATAGAAATGAGATTAACATTTTATGTCCTTAATGATGATTATAATCATACAATTTTATGCACTAGTTCTTTATTACTTACTTTTGGTGGCGGTCATGATATTTGGTTTAAAAAAGGCACTATTCAGTGAATTAAAAGGTTTGTTAATTTTGTATCTATCTATAGTAGTATTAATATTTGTAACACATGATTGGCCATTCATTCCATTTTTAAAATTTTATTGAAAGAAAATAAAAATGAATTCAATATTTGAAAAATATTTTAATGAAAATGAAAGATTATTAAATACAGAAGATTTTTATGATGTAAAAATATATGTTGGTGGAGTACCAAACATTAAAGAAGTTCATGCACATGCATCTATCATATCAGCTCATTGTCCATTCTTTAGCAATGCATTAAGTAATGCAACAAAAGAAAATGGATATTATATATTAAGAAAGTTAATATTAGTGAAAAATGTTTCAATCCTATTCTCAAGTAAGTTTAAATAAATTTATTATTATATTGAATTGTTTATTTGAATGTATATTATAATAATAATAATCTGTTTAATAATTTCTTTATTTAAGATTTTTATACACATGTAAATTTGAATTTGATAATTATTCTGGAGATGAAATATTAGAACTATTAACTTCAGCAGATGAACTTGGTATTGAATCACTTTATGATGAAATATTTCATTGAAAATTATGATGATCATATAAAAGAAAATCCAGTTAAAATTCTACAACTGATTTATGCTAATGAAAAATTTAAAGAATTAAAAAATATCTATTTAGAAAAGATTTGTGATTATAGTGAAAATTTATTCAAATCAAGTGAATTTAAATCATTGGAAAAACCAGTTCTGTTGGAAATTCTCAAAAGAGATGATTTTTCTGTTAGTGAAATTGTTATTTGGGAAAATATTCTTAAATGGGGATTGGCAAAGCATCCTGAAATCAATAATAATAATAATAATGTTGAAGATTGGTCATCACAAAATTTTGTTGATTTAGGCAACACATTAAAAGAATTCCTTTCTCTGATAAGATTTCGGGATGTTTCTAAAGAGGATTTTCTCAATAAAATTATGCCATATCATATGCTTTTTCCTTGGACTTTATGGAAGGATATTTCACATTATTATTTACTTCCAGATAAACAACAAAAATTAAATTTATTATCATCAAGAATTTCAAATTGAATTCAACACTTGCATCATTGACAATCAATCAAAATCTTACTTTGCTTTTTGCAAGTTGGATTGATAGAAAAAACCCACCATATAGTTCATTCAGAGAGGTCAAATATAAATTCAAACTTTTGTATCAGAGTAGTAGAGATGGTTTAAATCCAGTTATATTTCATCAAAAATGTAATAATATCAACAAAACTCTTGTAGTTGCCAAAATACAAAATTCAGATCAAATAATTGGTGGCTATAATCCCCTCAGTTGGAATGGAAATGTGTTTGATAAACATACAACTGAAAGTTTTATATTTAATATAAGTAATAAAAATAATATTAATACTGCACAATTTAGTTATGTTATTAATAACAAGTGTGAACATGCAATTTATTGTCATCCAAATTTTTTACCACTTTTTGGTAGTGGTTTTTTAAGTGGTTTTTGTGGTAGTTCTAATGAATGTGATATTTATTTTGAAGAAAATGGTCATATTCGTATCAGACCATCAAGTTATGTTAATATCAATATAGTAGACAATAGTATATTTGATGAATTAGAGGTTTTTCAAATTAATTAATTATATTAATTATTTACTATCTTACCATACTATTTAACCTAACAACAATTTTTCTATGTATTATTTGATAAATTTAAATAAAATAATGAGAATTCTTTTTCTGATTCATTAAATAAAGGTAGTAATATTAATAATGGTAATACTACTAGTAGTATTTCTTAATAATAATTATAATTATTAAAAAGAAAATTTCTTTTAGTGATTTGTTTTTTTTTCTTTGCTGCGCTGGCTTGAAATGATTTGCAAAATGATTTGAAATTTTGTTAATTAATAAATAAAATTGAAATTTGAACAGAAATATTTTCGTTTTCCAAAAAAATGATAAACGGTTATGGTTATTTTACGTCCCAGTACCAATTGTTATCTTTTTTGGTTCAAAACGTTAGGGTTGAGCGAAACAGATATTTGACTGAAAGGAAATCGTGTTTCGTGTTAGATGTTTTTTGCGTGGTGTCAACCGCTGTCTACCGTTAGGTCTTCGCCTTTCTCCGACGTTTCGGACCATTCAAAATGACCAAAAACTGATGGTCTTGTCTTGGAACCTTTACCTCTGATCGTCAAAGGCTTGTCACACAACATGTTGTGATATTTTTTGGTCACGAGACCGGGGTTCAAAAACATCTGCACCGTAATACTATATACAGCAGGGTTGGCAAATGTGCAGTCCATTGATGGTCTATTGGTAGTCCATTGGGTTCATTAGTGTGATACTTTAACCATATTTAGTATTTTATTAATGGCA